GCCAACACCAGGACTCCTATGCCAGGCATGCCACCAGCAGCATGAGGAGTAATTGGGGAGGGGGGGGCGCTACCCTCACCTTCTCCCACTGCCAGCTGCTGCCATGGCCCTACTGTCACTGCTGCTCCCCTCAGGCCGTGGCTCTACCCTAGGGGGGAAATGGGGTGGGGGGCAGAACAGGTGGCTTGAGGGCTTGATGGCTGCTGGGCCATGGCGATGGGGTAGAGCTATGGGTCGACACACAAACAGCTGGCAGCGTGAGGACATGAGGATATGCCACCCTTTTCCTGCCAACGCAAGGATGTTCCACCCTCTCCCTGTCCCCCCCCCCCAGTCCCTTACTCCTTATGCTGTTGGTGGCATGGCTGGCCCGAGGGGTCCTGGTGACTGACCTGGTCCTGGGTCTCGCCACCCTGGTTCACCCTCGCATGCCAGGTCCTGCCTGCTGGGCCACAGAGGCAGCTTCTGCCCATGCCAGTCTGACCAGACTCAGCCATATGCCTGCTGTGGGTACACAAATCTGGTGGGGCACATGCCCCCCCCCCCGTACCCTCAACACCTTGCCTATGGCATCGCCTATGGTTGGACACCCATGCCGTACATGCTGGGGCTTGAGGGCAGGGGGAAACATGTTGGGGGTCAAGAGCATCAGCAGGGCTGGGGGGTGGGGGGAACTGTGGGTCAGGAGTAAGGGGCAACGGCAGAGCTGGGAGGCTGTTGCCTGAGAGTGAGGGGCACCAGCATATCAAGGCTGCTCAGCACCACAAAGCAGCAGGAGGGCAGCCGCAGCTAGACCCACATCCTGGTGAGCGAAGGGGGCATGGGGAGCTCTGATTTTCTGTGATAAGAAAACTAAAATCAAATGCCAAAATATACAGGTATTTAGAATTTATTTTATTATAACAGTTGAGGTACTGGTAGGCTTCCAAATTGCTATAAAATGGTAAATATAGCCATAACACATTGTGTTCAACTGATGCCTTTGTATATAGTGGTGTTTCATTTTAATCATGGAAAAACATGGATTTGGAGTTTTTTAATGAAAGAATTTTGTATTTTTTATCAGAGAAATTAGGGTTTTTAAACACAGAAAGCAGGAACCCTGACATGATCCTTTTGACTTTGAACTAATATCTTGCATAGTTTATACTAGATATAAGTAGGTGCCAGAGTACTATTCAAAAGTGTGTTTTTGACTACCTGTGCTAAAAATTGCAGCAGTTTAGAAAAAGGTAACATGAATCAATTCTGGATGAAGTAAGTGTGTGAGTAGTATATGCAAATTCCTACAGCCATCTTTAATGTCATGATTATTGTTTTCAAATTGGCTCCTCACTTTCATGTGCTCAGGGAGAGCAGTGTCTGACAGTAAAAGGAGGGGGAAGGGACTGCCAGGAGAAACAGCTGAGGGGAAGCAGAGAGCAAAGGACTACCTGATTCCCCCATATCTATTTTCGCTGCTGTAGTAGTGGAAGAAGGACAAATTCAAGGTAAACCTCCAATGATTAGATTCTGTACCTGGAAAATTATAATCTAATTATTGGGTGTCATCTTATAATCAGGGTCATCTTCTATTTGAGTCAATATGGTAATATGATGCAGGCAGCAGACCTTTCTGCTTCAGCTGCTTCTCAGTACAGTTCCAACATGCTCCTAATAACTGAGGCATGCAGGACAGTTTCTCCCCATAACAGCAGCAGTACCGGCCACATGGGAACACCCAGTTGAGAATCACAGTTTTAGATACAAGTGTGAGATTTCTTGGAAGTGTTGGTGCACTTCTGCTTTATTTTTATTACAAAACTACCTTGTTCTTCTGAGATAGTCATGTTATGAAACGACCAAATCATGTTAAACTTGATTATTAAATTTTGTTAGAATCTCAGCCCTCAGCTTGAGCTCCCAGTGGTTTGCAGCTGGGTCTGAATTAGGGTTTGGGCACAAACTTTTTGGATGTAAGATTAAGCTAAGCTGATTTCAACAGATTTTAGGGTTTATGTACTAATCTGGGGAAGAGTTATGGCTTAGAAAAGGATCAGAAACCCTAAGAACCCTGAGTTGGTTCTTCAAAAACTGTATTTTCATGTGTATTTTTAGAGGAATCCTAGCTTTTACTATAAGGCATACTCTATCTATCACTGTTTATTTCTTCTGGTCTTTTTTTGCCCATTCTCAAGTCTGTTGATACCTACTCAACATCCCCACTTCATTACTTGAATCCCTTGCATGTTCTGCTTCTTGAACATTGTGTGTACAATATAAGTTGTCTGTAAAATTGTCAGCAAGATCCTCACAGGGAAATTAACATTTCACTTTCTGGCAACTTGCGCTGTAAGCAGCTAAATTGTGGCTTTTGAAATACTATCAAGAATTATGTAGATCAGCATTGTATAGAAATATTATATTGGATAATTAAATGTGGTTATTCAGAAGTTATATGCTATTAGCATGATTTTATTAAATGCAGATTGTGGTGAGAACCCAAGAATGTACAAGCTGACTTAGATTATGTTTCCCAGTCAGTTTATTAAGATAGCCTGTCGGAAATACTTCTGGCCCTGCAGTACAGGATGCAGAGGTGATTTGCATAGCATATAAGGCCTTGCCTGCAGAAGTAACTGGGATCTCTAGGGACTGAGCTCAGTTTGCCCAGTCCAGAAACATGCTTCTTTATAATTTTCCCTCACCTATGGAATCGCTCCCCCTTTGTAGTCATTATGTAAAAGGTTCTGGCAAATTAGATGCATGTAAGCCTAAATCCAGTCGTCTTTTCCTTCCTGTTCATGCCTGCCTGCACTCTAGAAGCCGTCTTCAGCAGTGCAAACAGTGTGCATGGATACACCTTATTACTCTGCATTGTTACAGTGTAGTGTAGTGACTAACCCAGAGTAAAAGTCAGTCCCAGCCCCAAAGAACTAATGCTCAGCCTAGACATAGTTGTAGCGAAAGGCATATGAGTAAGGTGAGTAGTGGGATAGACTGCAGTTATCATATTAGTGGTAGATTTTTTTTAATGGGTGTGGTTTAGTTAGGAATTTGGGTAGGAGGGTTCATTAGATAAATGGAAAAGCAAAGAATGGGGAGAAGAGGGGAAGCTGAAAGAGGAGTATGGAGAGCAGGTAGCATAAGACTTACAAGAGAAGGCAGAGAGAGAGGTTTGGAGTGAGTAACCAGTCGCACAGAGGAGACAATGTCCATATACAAAGCCGTAGCATGCAGCCAGTTCCTACAACATCTGGAGAGGCTGCTTTTATCCTTGCTTTGAAGGAACTGAAAGAAAGCTGTCACTGCTTCCCCATTATTGACTGATGGGGAACATTAAAGACAAGAGTTGGTCTCAGTTGAGGCCCATCTTTTCCCATTTCCTCTACACAATATGTGGACTCCACCAACACCTTCTCCATGCAGTGACAGCACAGACGTTCTACAGTGCCAGTCAGTGAACTTCGTTACCTGTGGACCAGGATGTCCTCTCCGAGGTAAACGGGAAGATCAAGTGTAAGCTCCTTTAAACAAATATCCTTCCCTTGGCTGTATTAGTCTATCTCCTAGCTCAATGAGACCCTGATAGTGGGGGTACCTTTGGAAACAATAGCAGTGGACATGATGATAATCAAAATGTGTTCCTCTCATACTTCTCTGTTGCTTTAGATTGTGTTTGTATGGCAAGGACTTCTTTTTCATTAAGAGGATTCAATTCTGGCATTGGATAGGCAACAGTGGACACTGATCCTTTCTCTGCCTCTCTAGAGTGGACAATACATTGCAGATGAACTGTCTGTTCCCAAGTGCAGAAGAGCGTGTCTGTCCTTCCGTGATACCTCAGCTAAGACAACCAAGACTTAGCTACTTAAGACTAGGCTGGATTTGAACGTGCGGCAGAAAGGAAAGGCTGTCTAGTCCATTGCCATTACCCCAATCTATCTAGTCCTCTGATTTTAAGAGATATAACTAAACTTTTGAATGCTAGTACTTGGTGAAAGAAGCCAGTGTCCACAAACAGATAAGAAACAGTTAGCATATCTCTGAATTTTGATTTTAACATTTTCCATTGGCACAAAATTAAAGGATTCTTGATAATAGAGTTATATTTAAAATGTCACCTGCTTCTGATTTGAAAAGAGAATATCTTTAGTAAGATTATCTCCTGAGGTACTGAAAATGTCATTTCACCCATTTCGTATTTTGCCTATGAGAAAGAAAGAATAAGGAAAGAAAGAAACACTTAGTGGTTGTAAAATTCTTTATAGCATCAATAAAAAAAAGTTTTAATTTTCATTTTTGGTTTTGTTCTTTTCCTGTACTGCATGCTTTTCCATTTTCTGAAGCTCATTTTAAAACTACTCTTTCTTCACTTTGGGGGATATTTTATATCTAAGCCTGAATTACTCAAAGGGACACATTTGTCAGAAGAGATGGGCACCCACTATGCACCAAAATAAATGGGCGGATTTTCAAAGGAATGGAAGGCATGCCATTTATAGCTGAGCCCCTTGGAAAATCTGGCTCTAGTTTGAGTTCAGAGCACCTGGATGATGTGGCCCCAGAGCTTGTTTGATGGTCTCACACTAATTGTTTGGGTATGGAATAAGAGCAAACATGATCTTATGTTTGCTATGTTGAATAAAGCAAAGTAATGTGATACGGGGAAAGCTGACAGAACTAGCGTTTAGATCAGCAGTTCTTCTGACATCATATCTGTGTGGAGAAAAGGGAGATCACAAGAAATGTAACACCTTTCTCCAAATAAGATAAACTGATAAAAGGAACACGGACTTTTATCATCCCTTCTTTTAGTACACAAAGTCCTATTGGGTATGAAAAGTGGCTTTATTCCTGAGACGTCTATTATCAAGTATTTACATTTGGCATTACGTCTAAATTTGTTAACATCCAGTTCTTTCATCGTCCTGTAGAAGGCAAGAATGAGATTTCTTTAAATCTGTCATTTCTAAGTTTGAAGGTATTGTTCACCTTTTTTCCGCTTGTGTATTTAACAGATTACTTCCTGACACTTGATGAGCCTATGAATAACATAACCACCACTCTTGGCCAGACAGCAGAACTGCATTGTAAAGTCTCCGGCAATCCTCCTCCAACTGTACGCTGGTTGAAAAATGATGCACCAGTGGTTCAAGAACCCCGAAGGATATCTTTCCGTGCAACGAGCTATGGGTCTCGATTACGAATAAGAAACCTTGACACTACAGATACAGGCTACTTCCAGTGTGTTGCAACTAATGGCAAGAAGACCGTTTCCACGACTGGTGTGTTGTTTGTGAAATTTGGTAAGAATTACCTTCCCAAACTTTTTATGTTACTTGGGAAAAGTGCCAGATGAACAGGACTAGCAATAGAAGTTCTTCGTAAAACCACAGAAAAAAATAGCGCAAGGAGGTCAGCAATGCAAGCTTCTCTATTCACAACTGAGATGTTTGGTAATGGTGACTGTTGTTGGGATGGATTCTGTGATGAGTCTACTGGGACTAGGACTTAGGCAAGGGAACTTACTTAACAGAGGACATAACAGAGCCTTTAACAATCTTTAGCTTTCTTCTAACTGAGGCCCCGGCACACACTAGTTACGGCGCAGTTAATACATGAATTTCACCATAAATATTAACAGTGTTACAATTTTTCCATGAAGTGGCAAACCAACCACAAAAACATTCCACAGACCTCTGTGGCTCACTTGTATGGTGCCATAAATTGAACATGCAGCACCCCCATGCCAATGCTGACAATCGGCTGATTGTCAGCATCAGTATGAGGGTGGGGATCAGCATCAGAACCAGGACAGCTTTGATTCCGATGCCAAAAATAAGCTGCGAGGAAAGAAGGTTGCAAGATTCCCCACTGTATTGGAGGGGTGTGGGGGGGGGGGGG